TCTTCTGTTTCAGTCCGTTATTACACTCTTAAATCCTACTACTTATTCCTGCGTCTTTTGTGATCTTACAAAACTTTAAATAACGCGTCGACTATTAAATCAGTCATCGATGACTTTGATAGTCGACGTAATCGTGGCAGCCCTATTTGTAATCATGCTACTGTAACACAAACATGTGGGATCAATAAAGTATGTATTTATATACACTCATGTTGTTTGTGCTAAATTCTGACCCTCCCATGCGAGCGCTGTAGCAGACTCATCAAACCAGGCAACGGTTTCCAAGCTTCTGTTATCCAGTTGTGATGATGTTGTTCAAGTTATAGCCTTGCTGTTGTGTTGTTGGCGGGCAGGACTGGCACCTGGTGCGCTCTCCTGCTTCTGTAAGCCCACTTCATTTATCTTCTGTTTTGTTATGATGCATGTCTGCAAGTAGCTAAGCAGTTTAGCATCAACAAAGCACTTCATGGATATTTTCTCTTTTATTGGACAATTCTCTGTAAACCCTAAATTGATTATTGGCTCTATTGGGCGCCAATAATCAAGGTGTGTTCAAAGTCAGTAAAAATCAGCTTTTCCCCCCATTCTGCTGCTCTGTTTCAACTCGAGCGGGTCATAGTAGTTATCTCTACATGGCTAAATGCCTAAAAATCAATTTATCATTTCTCAACATTGTTGACATTTTTCTGCGTATTTGTTTTTTCTCTAATTTTTATGTATTTGTTGAGGAAGGTGGAGAATCTTTTTTATTCTTCTCTGCATTTTTTTCCTCTGTTTATAGTTTGTTTAGTAAAAATAGAAAAGCTTCTTCTCTGAAACAGTGATGAGCTGCACGTGTGTGTCATTCATTTATACGCTGCTTTGTATGGAATGATGTCCTGCGTTTTTCCTATGGACTTGGAGACCTGGGTTAAAGCCCAACCTTCTGAAGTCTAAGCTGCTGGCTCTTTTTTGCACACATGCTGACTCCAATAATTAAAACTTTGGCCATATTGAACCTTCTAGCACTGAAAGTTTAAAAGCTCTTTGTTCCTGAAGTTTCATACGCCACATTTGTTTTTCTCGTTTCGCAGCAGGGTCAGGATGACAGAAAACGACGTAGATAATGAGCTGTTGGACTATGAGGATGATGAGGTGGAGGCCGGAGGGGTTGGAGATGTTGGAGGTGCAGGTGACATGTCGATAAGGAAGGAGGGGGTGAAGGGCTCCTATGTGTCCATTCACTCCTCTGGATTCAGAGACTTTCTACTGAAACCTGAACTGCTGAGAGCCATAGTGGATTGTGGGTTTGAACATCCGTCTGAGGGTGAGTAACTGGTGCCAGGAGGAAAATTGGGAATTATCTTCTCTCTGTATTTGAAGCGTCTGATAAAGATTAATGCCAGTTCCTCCTTTAACAGAGCTGTGGTGTGTTGGTGTGTTGGCAACGGTAATTTTAGTCACATAACATTTCATTACGCTCAAACTCGATGTGCTGAACACAGAAGATAAAAATCTGTGTAGGTTTATGTGGTGGGGCGTGGACTGCGGTGCTGTGCGGATGCACCTGCACAGCACCGCAGTCAAGCCCGTCATGTTAAAACACGGGGACTCAGGGGTTGGTGGGGTTGTGGTGGTTTGACAAATGTTGAATAAAAATGGCTCAAAACACAGATCTGCAGTCCCGCCGTGCTTTAATTCCACCACACTGGCATCCGGTAGGTTTACAGTTGTGCCATACTCCTTCCATTTCTGAATGATGGCATGAACAGTGCTCCGTGGGACGTTCAAGGCTTGGGAAATCTTTTTGTAGCCTAAGCCTGCTTTAAATGTCTCAATAACTTTATCCCTGACCTGTTGGTGTCTAAATCCAATCGAGAATCTGTGGCAATATCTGAAAACTGCTGTTCACAAACGCTGTCCATCTAATCTGACTGAGCTGGAGCTGTTTCAAAGAAGAATGGGCAAAGATTTCAGTCTGTAGATGTGCAAAGCTGGTAGAGACAGACCCTAAAAGACTGGAAGCTGGAACTGCAGCAAAAGCTGGTTCTACAAAGTGTTGACTCAGGGGCTGAATAATTACACACACCCCACTTTGCAGTTATTTGTTTGTAAAACATGTTTGAATCATGAATGATTTTCATTCCACTTCTCACGTGTGCATCACTTTGTGTTGGTCTTTCACAGGAAGTCCAATAAAACTGATTCATGTTTGTGTCTGTAATGTGACAAAATGTGGGAATACTTTTGCAACCACTGTAACCTACCTCAGGTCAGCAGGCAGCTTGCTCCAAAGAACAGGACCACAGATGATGAAAGCAGCCGTAGACATAAGTCTGGGAACAGTTCAGAGATGTGCATGTGATGACCTGAGAGCTCTGACTCTG